CCCCCCCATGGGGCACCAGCGACATCCTGCGGACCAGGCATTGATGGTGTATCCAGCTGCCTGCAGCAATTCGCCACCGTGCCAGCGCAGCATTCCAGGTGGCAGGTTCGCAAGGAAGCGCAATGGCCGCCCGGGGACCCCAGGAAGCACTCTGAGTTTCTTAATAAGCGTGGGGGGGTACAATCCCGACGGGGGTCAACCTCGCCTCGTCGTCGCGCCGCGACGGGGGTCGGAGCGCCTTCGGCGCGGGGTGGTTGCCCGCGACGGGGGTCGATGTGGGGCTTTCGGCGTGGGTGGCGCCCCCCCAACGCTGATTGAGAAACTCGGATTCGGGTCCTCCACGCAGCTGGGTCCGATGGGAGGGGTGGATGGGCCCCTGGAAGAAGACTACACAAATCCTTCCAGACAGCGCTTTGCACTCTTCCACGCCTCAACGTGCCAGGAGGCAAGGTGGCCTATGGCGTACAGTCAACCCGCATAGTAAGGATGAGCGGCTCTCCAAGGTTACCCTTGCATCCCTCCCCTTCGGCCCATCCTTGACCGCTTTCGCTCGCCGCGCCCCGCTCGCAAAGTGTCGACATGGCCTTCCAAGGCCCTTGCATCCTTCCAAGGCGCCTCCGGCGCCGCCCCTGGCGCGCTCCGCGCGCCAGGGAGGGGGGTCCAGCGCCGATCCGAGAACTCCGCGCGGATCTCCGAGCTTTTATGCTTGTGTCACGTTCTGTTCCCCTAAATGGTGCACACTCCCCTAGTGGTGCACATTCCCCTAGCGGTGCACATTCCCCTAGTGGTGCACATTCTCTTGAGGGTTCCCCTTATGGTTATGTCACTTTCTGTTCCCCTAGTGGTGCACCTTCCCCCCTTGAGCGCCGGCCGCCTCGGGGACGGTGTCTGCGCGAGCGCCTCTGCTCCCAGGGCCTCGCCCCGCCCCCCTCCTGGCGCGCCGCCGAGCCTCGCGCGGCACGGGCAGGCCGTGCACAATGTGCGCGCGGAGCCCCTCTCTCTTGGGCAGAAGCGGGCTCGTGCTCCGCCACGCCAAGAGGAAGCAGCTGCGTGAACGTAGACTCGCGAAGCTCCGCGCGCCAGGGAGGGGGGGTTCCAGCGCGGAGCCAAGAAGTCCGCGCAGAGCTTCGCAAGCTTACGTTGATGTAGGTTCGGCCTCTTCTGGCCATGGCTTCCAGGCGTCGCCCAGAAGGCTCACAGGAGAGCTATGATATCTTCGCCTCGTTGTCTTATTGCCTCCTGGGGGCCATAGTCGCCACGACTGGATTCGCCCAGGAATCCTAGTCAGAATGCGCCAGTGAGGTGGCCAGGGGAGCGGCGGTATTCCATACAGATGACTTTTGTAGAGGATTGGACTAGCAAGGGAGCCAAAGAGAGCGCAGAAGACGACGACGACGACGAAGTCGCAATGTATTCATATGCACACGCGCTGAGCCTATTGCAGCCGCTGGGAACGGCCGCATTTCTTGATGAGATGCCACTGCGCTGGTTCATGTTCTCCAGGCTCACAAGCCAACACCTCATATAGCTCTTGTGCGGCAGAGCACAGTGTCGTATCATATTGCATGTGTCTCTTGCAAAGCGTCTTGCGTACAATATCCGTCCGCGCTAAGGACAGAAAGTTTGCGTTCGCCTCCCTCAAAGCTCACAGTATCGAGTTGGATCCCCATTGAAATCCGCGAAGCCTGTTACGGTCTGGCTGGTGCCATACTAGCATCAAACAGGCGGAGTTTTCATGTTGATGTGTATGGGTCTAACATGCCAGTGCCCCGAAGACGCCCCCTTGCTTAGCTCAAGCGTCTCGTAACTATGTTTACCTGCCAGCTTTGCGGTGCAGTGGTTTACACAAAGACGCTGCTTAATGTAATGTTCGATTGCCTGTGCAGAACGGTCCAGCACCACACCGTCATTGTAAATCTACCGCGCCACGGTCATGCATCCATTCAGATCAAGGCCGCATTGCTTGCCCACGTTCAAGTCGAGTTCCGCAACAAAAATTGCTGACGCATGCATTTGCACTCACGAGCATCGTCTCGCTGGCGCACAGTCTCTCGAAATGTAGGCTGGCTCCTGACAAGCATGTTCATCGCGTGGTACAGCTTGTGTGTGTCTCAGAAGTATGACAGCTGGAACAAAATGTAAGTAGTAGGGAGAGAGGAGACATTTTCGAGCTATTCCGACTCGTTCTTGCTTGGTGTTGCCATATTTCGTTGATTGTTCGAAAGCGAATTACGACTTCGATGATTTGAAGCAAGTGCCAGCATTGGTTCTGAGATTTCAAGCTTGGCTAAAATTCGGATGAGCGCGTCTTTTCTGTTTCTTGATTCGGCCGACCAGCCCAGGTTTCAATGATATTTTCGAAGTCTCGAACACGCGGCAACCAATAGTTGATGCATCCATTGTGCTGCGCCCCGGTCAGAATCCAAATTGTCTTGATCGTATTCGTTGTTCCGTCTTCTCATTTTGTGATCGGTCTTGGGCCATCGAGGTGACGATAATGTTTAACCCCGTACAGATATCAGTGAAATCGGCAAGTAGTTCTCAGGTAAATTTGAGCACCCTTGTAATAGTAGCGCCATTGCGGCGAGCCGCCATGCTTCTGGTAGATGTTCAGCTTCCCAGCCTTTTGGTCAGTATACAATAGTCTGCTGCTAGCCGACGTTGTATCTCCAGAAATCTGGTGATATCCCGTCGTGACCTGCGGCATCTTGAATCGCCTCACGGGCTAGAAGATCGGCGGGGTCGCCAGCCAGCTCCATTCGCACGGTTTGACGGCGCTTGGTTTTTCGGAACGGCGCCAGATCTCGGGGTCAGATTGCGAAGGTTTATAGCCGGTGCCGCCGACCTAGAAGGATGACAGCGACGACCACGACGACGACCACGACGACAACGACAACGATGAGCTGTTGACCCTGCCACAAGCTCGGGACATGGGGCGGGCGGCGGAGGGAGGAGGAGAAGGAGGCGGAGAAGGCGGAGGAGGAGGAGGCGGCGAACGAGGAGGAGAAGGAGGAGGCAGAGAAGGAGGAGCAGGCGGAGGAGCAGGAGGAGGAGGAGGAGGAGGAGGAGGCGGAGGTGGAAGAGGAGGAGGAGGAGGAGGTCGGGGTCATATTTCCCTGTGCCTCTTGGCGGCGCTGTGCCTCGTCTCTCACGACGCCGGGCCGCGGGCTGTGCCCAGTGCTCGTCCACGCCCCCGCTCCGCCTGGCCCGAGGGGGGCACGAGAGGACCGAAGGGGCGCCCTCTCCCCAGGAGCCGCTGCGGCGGGCGGGCGGCTCCTACCAGGCCTTCTCGATGATCCTCAGGACTCGGAGGAGGAGAAGGCACTCCAGGTCTCTCAATAAGCGTGGGGGGGTGGATCGCGCGGGGGGGTGGGGAAACCGCTGTCCATCGGGGGGCGTGGGGAGGTTGGGGAGCGAGAGGGGGTGGGTTTGGGGCGCGTGGGGGGGGCGGCAAGGGGCGTCGGACAGGTTGGCACGGGGGGGGGAGCTTATTGAAGGATCTGGAGTACCCATGCCGCTACGCTTCGCTCGTTTTCTCCTTTTCTTGGCCTCGTGGGGGGGGACTTCGTCGCCGCCGCTGGATTCGCCCGGAAATTCTGGTCAGGACGCACCTTGGGAGAGGTCCGGGGAGTGCAGCGGAGGCCCATGCCAAGAAACAGCTTGCTTGCCTCCAGGGTACGCTGGGTTTCTCTGGTTTCGACGGTCTTGTTGTGGAGAGGGCGACGTGCACACGCCAAAAATCAATGAAAGTCCTGGGGTCTCAGGGTTGGGTTTCTTGTAGAAGGTTTCTTGTGCTCGAGCTCCTACTTTATGGAAGACGATCCATGGAGAGGAGGCATGTCGCCAACTCATCTCCAGATGTATGAGAAGTGCTGTATATTGCGTTCAGTGTGTAAACGGATGCTTACCACATCCATGTTCATTACAGTCAGACAGCATCTAGAATTCAACGATGGCAGCAGTTTGAGTGTCCACTGTCATGGCACCCACAGTGTTAGCCCAGTGTGATGTCTGTGTGTGTGTGGTGTGTGCGTGCGTGCGTGCGTGCGTGCGTGCGTGCGTGCGTGCGTGCGTGCGTGCGTGCGTGCGTGTGTGAATGTGTCTTGCCCGGTGCAGCTCCGTCGACAGCGCGCATCCTGCCTCGGCCCTCCTGGAGGGCCTCGGCGGACGAGCACGCGTCAGTGCCAGCACACGCTCTCTAGGGTTAAGTCGGGCCTGCCCCCCTACAGGAGGAACAGTCCCAACTGGTAACAAAAATAGTCCAGGGGCGATTTTGGTGACTATTCTTGGGCATGCTTGGAACATTGCTGGATCATGTGTTATGTTTCGTCCAACGTCCGCCTGTGGGTGGGCAGGCCCGACCTGACTCCAGGGCCACCGCGCGGGTGCGAGGAGTCCTCTGCGCTCCGCGGCCTGGGCCATATTCAGGAGGGGAAAGACACACACAGACACAATGAATCGTTGATCTTCCAGAAAATAGGGAAACATATTGGGGAAGTGGGGGGGGGGGAGGCAAAAACCCAGAAAACATGGGAAAATGTGGGGAATCTTCTTATCTGTGTGTATTCATTTGGGTGCCCTGGGGCCCCTTTCACACATGTGCCGGAGCGAGCGGCGAGGGGCGGCGCGGGGCGGGCGGGGCGGCGCGAGGGCGCGCAGGGCTCCGCGCTCTCGCGGAGCGCGGGAGCGCGACGAGCGCCCTGGGTCGGGCGATCGCAGGCATGGGTCAAGGGTTCTGTCGGGCGTGTCCCCCTTACAGGGGGATGTTCGACGGATATATATATATATATATATATATATACACACACACACCCCAAAGATGGCCCGAAAAGGCCAAAACATACTCAAAAAATGGTTCCGGACTCTTTTTGGACTATGTTTGGATCAGTTTGGGGGTATTTCTTATTTTTCGACGGAAATCCCCCTGTAGGGGGACAGGCCCGGGGGCGTGGACTAGCGACGGGTCCCGTATCCATGGGAGATCGCGGATCTCCGCCGCCGAGCGAGGCGGCATTGGCCGCGTGTTGGGGAGGGCACCTCCCCCGATCCATGGATTTGGCGACCGCGCGCCAAATCCATGGATCGCTAATCCATGGTTGCGCGCCCCCGACTGGGTTCTGAGGACCCAGACCCCCGACGTCGTGATTTTGTTCATGGCGTCGGCCCGCAGAAGTGTGGACCCCTTCCCCAGGGCCCGTGTTTCATCCGGAGAGTCGCTCTTTGTCGGCCCCGAGGCCCGGCAAGGCCCCCCAGAGGCTGAACACGGGGAAAGGCCTCCCGTCGTGATCTCTTCATTACTCGAGGGGGTCTGGGGGTCATCGGCCTTCGTGGACCAGATGGCCGCGGATGACGCCTTCGACGCGCCGCTCACGGAGGCGGGGGTGCGCCAGGCAGCCGAGGCGGGCGCCCGGGCGCAGGAGCTGGGCCTGCTGCTGGGCGTCGAGCTGGCCGTCGCCTCCCCGCTCTCCCGCGCCCTGGACACCGCGGACGCGCTGCTGCCGCCGTCGGGCCCCGACCGCGGTGGCCCACGCCGGGCGGTGCTGGAGGAGCTCGGGGGAGGGCGATCGAGCCGCGGCGAAGCGTCCCTGGCCTTCCTATAGGCCTGCCACACCATGTTCTAAAAAAACCTTGTGTGGCTTCCACGGCGTGTTCTTAGAGCATTTCTGGCTGGGACTGTCGTGTTTCGACACACTGGTGCTATGTTATAAGAACATGGTTTTGTGAGTCGAGCATGTCCGGTTCTGAGAAGAGTTCGTGGTAGGTCTAATAGGAATGCCGGGACGGTCGGTCCTTTCTCAAGACAAGGTATCGATACCGCTCGTGTTGCCTCGTTGGGGTCCTTTCTGGGGGATTCCTGAGAGGCCCTCGTCTCGACGGCTGGCTTCGCCATGAAATCTCGGTCAGAGCGTACCCCAGATTTCGTAATAGAAGGGAGGGGGTCTGGACCCTCCAAGACAAGCCATTTCAGACCTCCCCCGTGGGAGATCCCTCCAAAACCTCGTCCCCAGACCCCCAAGGCCCTCCAAGAGAGCCTGGAAGAGACCCCCCCGAAATGAGACCCCCCTCCCTTTATTACGAAATCTGGAGTACCCCTGGAGAGGTCCGGGGAGCAGCGCAATCGGTGCCTCCCGGCTCCCGCAGGAGCTGCGAGAGATCAACGGCCTGCTGCTGAACGCGAAGCGCAGGCCGCGGGCCGAGCTGGAGGCCGCGTACCCCCACTGGGATTTCTCTGCGATATCGCCGCAGGACGACCTGTGGACGGAGGAGCTCGAGTCTCGGGAGTCGTGCGCGGCGCGGGGCCGCCAAGCCTTGGGCTGGATCTGGGAAGCGGACGAGTCCGAGGTGCCAGCGGCCGCGGGGCCACAGCCCCCCCCTGAGGGCCACGGCGTGCCATGTGCAGCTTAGGCACAGCGGTACCCAGGTTACCAGTCGAAGGAGACACGACGCCCTTGACGCAGGGCAGTCTGGCGAGGCTCCCCGAGCCCCCCGAAGGCCCCCCGCCCATCAGGCCGCCGGAGTGACGACGGAGCAGACGGGGGGTAGGAGCATCGCGCCGCATCGCTGATGCGTCGGCGGCGCGATCCAGAGCCTGGTCTTCCCGTTCCTCCCGGTGTCGCCGCTGCATCGCCGATGCGGCGGGATCCTCGGACCCCCCTCTGCGGCCCAGCGCAGCGCCAGCCTGGGTGGCCTCCACCCTCCACACGGTCCCCCCCCCCCCGGGGCCCTCCCGTCTGGCAGAAGCGGCACCGAAGATCGCGCGCGCGCCGCGGAGAAGCGGCAGGGCGCGGAGGCCAACCTGGCAGGACACGAGGAGGAGGAGGAGGAGGAGGAGGAGGAGGAGGAGGAGGAGGAGGAGGAGGAAGGGAGGAGGGGAGGAGGAGGAGGAGGAGGAGGAGGAGGGGAGGAGAGGAGGGGAGGAGGAGGAGGAGGAGGAGGGGAGGAGGAGGAGGAGAAGGAGGAGGAGGAGGAGGAGGAGGAGGAGGAGGAGAGGAGGAGGAGGAGATGCGGCGTCGGCCGGCGTCGATCTCCGTAAGAGAGCGGGGGGGCTCCCGCGAGTTGCCGCACGACTGTCTCGGAGGCCCGCGCCTCCCACTCTGATGTATGGGCGTCAGGTCGCAGGCCTAGAGGTTGACACCAACACCAATTTCGGCGGTGTGCCTCCACTGGGGGAAGAAGATCCCGATCTCGGTGGGGGTGGTGATATTCTGGCTTCCAAGGTGGCCGAATTATCACCACCAACACCGGAATCTAGGACCATCTCCCCCCCTGTGGAGGCACCCCCTGTGTTGGTGTTGGTGCCCATCTCCAGGCCTCCAGCGGCCTTGGGCGCCGGGCCCCGCGTCGGGTGTGGCCGGCAGGGTCCAGTAGCCCAGGGCGCCCGCCAGGGTTACGGTAGGTTCGCGTCGTGTCGACCGGCGGCGACCCCGCCGCCGACATTCAACGTTGAACGCCGACGGCGGCCCAGAATCGGTCGATGTTGAACGATCGGACGTTGCGGTGACGGCCGATCGTTCAAGGTTGAACGATCCAGCGCGGTGTCAGGAACCAACGCCAGGGTCGACACGGCACGGACCTGCAGTACTCGAGGAGCCCCCCCCCCCCCCACGGGCTCCGAGAGCACCCCCTCGCGAGGCCCAGAGAGCCCCAGGGGCGCCATGGGGCACCTGCTGGGGCAAGGGGCACCCGCAGCAGCCCCCGACCGCGGGCCCTCCTGCCACTCCGAGGTGTCGGGGGTGGACAGAACCCCCAACAGTGACACGTCGATTAGTGAATTCTCCGTTTTCGGTTCTCGAGAGGGCGCCGTGGCCGTTATTTTCCAGGCCTGCGCCCGCCAGGTTTGGGCCTCAGGTCGTTTTCACTAAACCACGTTTTACTAAAGGGAGGTCTGTCCATCCCCGAAGGTGCTGGTGGTCGCGCACGGCGGGCTCTTCAGCTTCCTCTTCGGCGGGCTGGACCCGCGCGTGCGGGCCGACGAGCGCCTGCGGGAACGCTTCGGGAACTGCGAGGTGCGCAGCGCGCGGCTGACCGCGGAGGGCTCCGGGGAGTCGGCCACCTTTCTTCTCCAGCCCGGGTGCTGGCAGGGTGCGGCACTGGCAGCGAGGTGGCTGCAGCGTTCTGGCCCATTCTGGAGCCTCTGGCTGAGGTCAGAGGAAAAGAAGGCACCGAAATTGCTACCCCGCCTCGTTTTCGCGTTTTGGGTGGGGCCTCCTGTGAGGTCCTCGCCGCCATGGCTAGAGTCGCCTCGAAATTGTGGTCGCAACGCACCCCAGGAGAGGTCCAGGGAGTGGCGGTCTCAGTGCTTTCTTGCCCTTCCCATCTTGGATCCCCTGGGGCCTCCAGGATTCCTGATTGTCAGAGCGTGAATTACCTACCCCGCTTTCGCTTCCAGGCAAAACCAAGTCATACCACGCGCCTCCTCGTCAAGCGGCCTGACCAGTACAGGCCGTCGTTTGGCATCGCTTGGTATCTCTTGGCAGCGAGGGTGGTCAACAGCGATAGGTTTGTCTTCCATCTAGGCCCGGGGTGCTCGTGGAGGCCCTGTGGAGGCCTCCTGGAGAGCCAGAGGGGCCACCTCCGGCCAGGGCCAAGCACTGGCAGCCCCCGACCCGTAGCCTCGCGGAGGGGGCAGGCGGCGACGCGGCGGAGAAAAGAGGAGAACGGCGACGGCGGCGGCGGCGGCCGCGGCGGCGGCGACGGATTGCGGCAGCGGCGGCGACGACGTCGACGACGAGGACGACGACGTCGACGGCGACGGCGACGGCGTGGATTGGCGGCGGATCCCGTTTCCAGAGGAAGTGGCGGAATTCTGCCGCCGAAGGAGGCGGCACCGGCCGCATTTTGGGGAGGGCGCCTCCCCAGTCCATGGATTTGGCGACCGCGCACCAAATCCATGGATCGCTAACCCATGTTTGCGCGCCCCCGAAAAAGAGGAGGTGGTGGACTGCCGGCTTTCAGCCGCAACCACGATCAGTCCCCAGAGGCTCCTGGAGGCTTCCAGCGACCCAGAGAGGGGCAGAAACGCCCACAAACCTTTTTAGAATCATCAACCACGGATCTCCGACCCTCGACGACGGCGGCGACGGCGGTGGCGGCGGCGACGGCGGCGGCGACGGCGAAGGCGACGGTGACGACGACGACGACGATGACGACGACGGCGACGGCGGCGGCGGCGGCGACGGCGACGGCGACGGCGACTGCGACGGCGATGGCGACGGCGACGGCGGCGGCGGCTGCGACGGCGGCGACGGCGACGGCGACGGCGGCAGCGACAACGACGACGATGACGACGACGACGGCGACGACAATCGCGACGGCGACGGCGACGGCGACGGCGGCGGCGGCGACGGCGGCGGCAGCGGCTGCGGCGGCGGCGGCAGCGGCGGCGACGACGACGACGATGACGACTGCGACGACGACACCGACGGCGACGGCAATGGCGACGGCGACGACGGCGACGGTTGCGGCGGGGGCGCCATCCTTGTACCACGACCACGATCAGTCCCCAGAGAGCCCTGGAGACTTCCAGTGGTCCAAAATGGGGCAGAAACGTCCACAAACCTTTAATGATCATCTACCGCAGAATTGCGACTTTCCACGACGACGACGACGGCAAAACGACGGCGAAAACGACGGCGGCTGCGGCGACGGCAACGGCGACGGCGATGACGACGACGACGACGACGACGACGACGACGACGACGACGACGACGACGGCGACGGCGACGGCGACGGCGACGGCGACGGCGACGGCGACGGCGACGGCGACGGCGACGGCGACGGCGGCGGCGACGGCGGCGGCCACGGCGACGGCGGCGGCGACGATGACGACGACGGCGACGGCGACCACGACGACGACGACGCCGGCGCGACGGCGACGGCGACGGCGGCGGCGGTGGCGGCGACGGCGACGGCGATGGCGATGGCGACGGCGACGGCGGCAGCGACGACGACGAGGATGACAACGACGGCGGCGGGACTGCAACCGCGACGGCGACGGCGACGGCGACTGCGGGCGGCGACGGCGGCGGCCGCGCGGCGGCGACGGACTGCGGCGGCGGCGCGGCGGCGGCGGCGGCGGCGACGACGACGACGACGACGACGACGACGACAACGACGGCGACGGCGACTGCGACGGCAATGGCGACGGCGACGGCGGCGGCGGCGCCATTCTTCTGCCACGACCACGGTCAGCTCCCTGAGGTTCCTGGAAGTTTCCAGTGGCCCAGAGAAGGGCAGAAACGTCAACCACAGATTTCCGACCTTCAACGACGGCGGCGACGACGACGACTGCGGCGGCGGCGACGGCAACGGCGACGGCGACAGCGACGGCGGGCGCGGCGACGGCGACGGCGACGACGACGGCGACGACGACGACGACGACCACGATGACGGCGGCGACGGGGGCTTCGACGGCGGCGGCGGCGGTGGCCTGGATGACGTCCATCGCGGGAGGCCCCCCCACCAACACCTGCACAATACGAGCGCGCCCCTCTTACCCGTCGTCCTTTTCTTGCGCGCCTTTTCTTCCTGATTGTTCGCCTCCCCTCCTACTTCCGCTTCGGCGCCCTCCCCGTCATCCTAGTCACCCTCCTAGTGTTCTCCCCCAGAGGCCTCCGTTCACGTCCTCCTCCCGCTTCGTATTCCAAGGCGCTCTGTTTGTCCTGGCCGTCCTCTTCGCCCTCCCCCAGGGAACCGAGAGGCCACCCATCGTTTTCGTCCGCGTCCTCTTGCTCGTCGTAGTCCTTCTCCTCGATTCTTCACAGTTGTCGAGACGGCCGTGAGGCCTCTTCAGCGCCTCCGCCCGCCCCCATCCCCGCCCTCGCGACCCTCCAGCACTGCAGCTTGCCGGATTGCAGCAGCAGCGAGAGCAGGGGTCCTGGACGTAGGCAACCCAGTTCCAGCAGCTCCTACCAAGAGATACCAACACCTCGCACACTGTGCGCCCAATAGTTCATGCGCCCACGAGGGGAACCTTTGAGAGGGCCTCCTTGAATGACAGCCTCGCGTACAGCGCCGGTTTGAATACATGCTCCGCGTGCGGACCATGTATTAAAAGTAAGGGGTTGATTAATAAATGCAAGGATGAGTTTACGCATTAATTTATTCATACATTAATCATGCAATTAAACTCATAGATTGAACCACCATATGTATTCACAACTGCCCCTGAAGGGGCCCAACGTGAGGGCATTGGCCACGAAGGCCCCAAGCTGGACCTCCGTTGGCGGGGCCTCCCCCGTGCCAGCGCGCGGCCGCCTGCCACCGTTCCTGGAGCGGGCAGGGCGAGGCAGAGTCCGATTCCTCTGGCTGGCCGTCGACCCTCACCTCCTCCTCCTCCTCCTCCTCCCCCTCCTCCTCCTCCTCCTCCTCCTCCTCCTCCTCCTCCTCCTCCCCCTCCTCCTCCTGTTCCTCCTCCTCCTCCTCCTCCTGCTCCTCCTCCTCCTCGATTCCTCTGACTGGCCGTCAACCTCCACTTCTGCTTGGATGCAACTCCTGGGAGGTCACTTTCTGACTTGGCCCTGGCTCGACATCTGGCTGCATCCCGCTCGATCTGGCTGCACCAGCTCCGTCCCGCCGAATCCAGCGCGACCGCTCCCCGCGGGGGCGCAACCCTGCCTGATCCTTCCGACGGAGACCTCCCGACAGTTGCCCCCGAGCCTCTGCCTGCTCGCCCCGAGGCCGCCGCGAGGCCCCCACCGCGCGGGCGACGGCGTCGCCGACGGCAGACGCCCGCCGCGAGAGGCCA